ATTACATTTCAGTGTTTTTATATTTTCTCTTCAGTCATATATACTACGTGCTTATTACATGTTTCGTCTATCATTTTGAAGTTGTGTACTTTATTTCTCTTTTCTAAGTAGCTATTAAAATTATATATATTTCACTAAAATTTGAAGTAAAGTTATCCAACTTCTTTTCAAATAATGCAATGTCCTCAACATACTATATTTAAATATTTCTTTTCCTATCACTCAATAATAAAAATTTATTATCCACTACTCTTATTTTATCTAAAAGTCATCAATACAGGGAGGACATTTAAGTTTTCGTGTCAACAATTGTTTAGATTTACCTACACATTTACAGATTTTATCTTCACTGATTATGCTTTTCAGTCTTAATTATAAGACGGTTTTCTCTCTTTCTGAATTTAACATAAAAAATACCACAAAACATGAATGGATGCCACAGACACCATGTTTTTTTTTTGTTTGTTTGTTTTAGAAAATCCTCTCATTGTAGTATCATTCTGAAGTGATAATTTTTGATTACTTCTCCAATTATTGATCCTGCTTAATTTTACCAACCAAATCTATACAATTTAACCTACAATTTTAGCAATGTTGAACTGTTGTTTTGGTGGTCCTAATCAGTCTTCATAAAGTAATTTTAGTTGTTTATAATGTATTTCCTTTTGATGAATTTATCTCAATTTGTCTCAGTACTTTACTTCAAACTACTATTGATTGTACCTGGAAGTTATCTGAAGACTTGAACTCCAATTTAGATGTTAACTCTCTGAGAGTCAATTCATTCACTACTAACAATAAAATCCCCACTTTGTAAAATCAAATTACTTTCGTGAACTTATACAAAGGGTATAATAGCTCAACGTATTACATTTGTCCACAATCCCATGCTCCACCTTTGTACTCAGTAATTTACAAGGCCTGATTTTATTATTTAATTTGTAAGCCTAAGCTTTGGGCAATTTTACAGATGTCCAAGATGTTTATTGGCAGGTGTTTTACTGTTTAGAATATTATTTGTCATGAGAATTGATAACTGTTAAACACTCAGAAGTTTTGATACTTAGTCAAAACACACATGTTGACTGTCTTTGGGATAGAAATGCTCACTGATGTTAAAGCACACATTACAGTGAAGATGGTAGATGAATGCTTCACATATTGTATACTCAAGTGTAATGAAATATGGTAAAGACCCATGCAGGCCTAATTATGATGTTCTGATAAAAGTGTGGGTGCTTCCAGGGGAGACTACCCTGATAGAGTCAATTATAAGGAATCAGTATTTTAAATGTTATAATTGATTCCGTGGCTGTTGGTAGCTAGAAATTGATAAGAGACCATCTGCAGTGCACTTTTACAGTTTCTTCTATTTCTTGTTTCAAGAAATAGATATGATTCTGTGTTGTAACAGCTTGCTATCTATACGATCCCTGATTGCATGATAGCTTCTTATGCAAAAATATGAATTCCCAACCTTGCTATTTTTTTGATCGAGAAACTGGTTATGTGGGGGTGGTGGGGGGAGCAACTTTTGAATTTTCTATTTTCTCCTTCCATTTACCTATGCTTGGTCAAAGAAATTAGAACAACTTTACTCCCAGGTTTTATCTTAGTATAAGGCTTACAGTTATTGAGAAAAGCACAGTTTCGTTAGAGAATGGAAAAACAAAAAGAAACCCCATACTTTGAATCTAAAGTGTGAATCAGTAATAAGCACAGTGAAGTATTGGGAGAGAGGGAATAAGCAGGAAATGTGAGACATTGACTGAGGAAAAGGACACTAAAAAAAGGGTCTGGAGCCCTGGGTGGCAGCTTTATGCAACGCAAAATTGTGCCAGCCCTTAATTCAGCATCTAGGGAGCTAACAAAACCTTCTGAAATGTGTTTTAAGGCCCATATATTCCAAGAGCAGCATATAAAGAGGCTATGAGATAAAACTTCATGATTGTAGCTTTACAGTACACAAGCTAATGCGGGAGACTGTGTGCCTTTAGCTTCTCTAGCGCCTACTTCATCTTTCCTCCTGCTCACTCTTCTTCTTGTCTTTCTCCTCTTCTCATTTTTTTCTTCTTCTCTTGTTTCTTTCCTTTCTTCTTCTTTAATGAATATAATCACAAAGATAGGCATCTGGAAGGACCCTGAAAAACATTGTCCTTACTATACTTAATGACTTGAGTTTTACACTTGAAGTCTCAGATCTAAAACTAGCATTTTTTGTGCAAAGAAATATTAGGTGAATCAACTTTCTCACATAAACAATAATTAACTTTCAGATTAGAGAGAACCAAATTCTATACCTGACAAGCTCATAAAGCATTAAAGCCTTAAAGAGGAGAATTTTAATCTGGCATAAGAAATACATCTAATTTTTAACAATTTTTATATCTTGAAAATGGTCTGTTGCTTCAGGTAATTCAACATAATTCAAATGGAAATGCTTCCAAGAAAAGTAAATATAACTTATTTTATCAAGCGCCAATTTTGTATCTAATGAGAAGCAAAACTGAAGGCACAGTTTTAAATTTGTATTTTAAGATTGTTGGCCCAGAAAAAAAAAGGAACCTTTTCTCTCTTTATTTTAAATTAGACTCATTCACCTACAACTAGGAGTTCACTTTAAGTAGATTGTAATAAAACAGGATTCTAAGATTAAATTATATTATTAAATTAAGCACCTACTCTTTTACAAGAACTATTCTAGACCTGGGAATTTCAAAAGGAATAAGGCTGAAGCTTTTTTTTTCTTTATTGTAGTTTCTAATCCAGCTGTAATGAAGACAGACAACAGTCAAATTAACAAGTAAGTACGAGAATTTCAGGTTAATGTGCGTTGTTTAAAAACTGAAATTGAATGAGAGGGAGGAACTGAAGACAAAAGTCTGGGTTTGGTTGGGGAGAAGCATGACATGTTCTATTTGAGCCTTTCAATTGCCTAGATAATAAATAGGTGGAGGTAAGTATATCTGATTATCAGTCAAGAGCAACGCAAGAGAAAGTGAGTGAGTTCAAAGGAGGGTAAAGCAATTAGGAAATGCTTGGCTTAAGGAATTTTCCATTGCTAGAAGGCAAGCTGAGTGCCTGTGGTTTCCTCTCTTAAGATGAATTTAAAGAGGACTGGTGGTCATGATATTTCAACTGCAGAGATGCACTCAGGAAAAACACAGACGAGTTATCTGTTTTGTTTTGTTGATAAGAAGAAAAATTTCCTTGTGTTTGCAACTTTTTCTTGTAATGGTGGACTTGTTATTCTAAACAAGAGGCATGAAAGATGATGCATGGTGATAATAAGATAAAAAGTAGCTGAACACAGGATTTTAAGTCTTGGTGAGTTCAAATAAATATTGCATTCCTGGTATCCAGTCACTTGTCTGAAATCCTTGGAACCAAATATGTTTCATAATTCAGCATGTTTTAGGCTTAAATAATTAAGTTTTTAATGTAACACCTCCAAGAAGCATTGGAGAAAACCTGCTAATCAAATATGATTCTTTTTCTGCTCTGAACAAATGCATAGTCACATCAAATAAGAAAAATAATGACCATAAAAACGTGATGAATGAAGTCAATCATGTAAGGTTTTACCACAAAGTGTGTTTTAGCACCAAATTTATGAAAGCACCATTTTCTTTTAAAACTTTTAGTGTCTTGGAATTATAGATTAGAGATTTTGAAAGTGTTACCACTTAAGTGAACAAGAAATATAGGAGGGGGTTTCAAATCACAGGATACTTGAATTAGGTATTTCAGAAATTATGCTATTATATTGACAGATTGAAAAGTATGGCTATGAGATTGAGGGAAAAAGGTGGAAAATAAATTATAATTTAGTTGGTGGGCTACACAAATTTGCAGACCAGAATTATGGGCAACTTTTCCATATGGATATGGATCCCATGGAGGAAAAGGGGTAGAAAGAAAGAGTGTGAACCAGGACTCAAGAACCTCATAAGTAGAAAAGTGCCTTGGATGTTTGTAGATGACAACAATGAAGGGAAAATATGTCTATTTTTGGTCAAATATTCTTTTCTTCAAACTCTTTGGAATTATAAAGTTTATTCTTATATTGGATTTTAGTCCTTAGAAAAATGACTCACTTTCCCATCACACAGTTGAAACATGGAAAAGAAAATAGACTCAGGAAATTACATAAGTCTGTTAAATAATTCCAACAAGAAGTCTGTTAACCACCCCGTCCTTCCCATTCTTGAGCAAACAAAATATCACGAGCTTCAAGTACGAGAAATCAAACTTTGGACTTAGAGCCGGAAGGTTGTACCATGCACGCTCTCCTCGAGTAATGACAGTTTATTTCTCCTCTTTCTTTTCCTTTAATAAAAAACAAAACACAATGAAACAAAACTCCAATGGAAACTTGTATTATTCAGGTAACATGTGTATTGCCTTTCACCAAATTATGCATTGAGATGTATGTACATTGAGATAACAGAAAATATCATATCATCAAATCA